CCCCAAAACCCCAAAACCCCAAAACCCCATACGTGTGAATTACTTTTGTCTGATTCATTAAATTTATTAATCATTTATTCTATACTTAATCATTACAAAAGATATATGAAAGCTAATTCAGGAAGGGCTCGCCAAGGCAAGCCAGCAAGCGGCGCTGACAATGCTGAAAAGGCTCGTCAAGGTACTATTCGATTGGCTTTATCATCTTTACACTAGCAATGTTGAAGAGATCAAAGAAATCAGATAACTCAATGCAGCAATATTATATTGTGATAGGTGCATTTGTGGCAATCTGCGTAGCATCAGTTCTATACGTTCTTTTGAACCCTAAAAAGTCTTTCGCTTCAATGCAAGTCATTGATGAAAGTCAAATTCTAGTGCATAATGGTCAGCCAAATTCAAACTTCCAACAGGGAACCAACTCCTTCTTCACAGTAAGTATTATTCAAACAGTGATTATTAATGATTTATGCGGCTAATCGCGTTGACTAATCTGATTTACTTATTTATTATTTTAGAACTGGACCTTATCAAACGCAAAATCTCTCTTCTAAAATTCACTCTCAGATACCCAAAACATTCCACCTTGCAAGACCAAGGAAGACGATGAGCAAATTATCCCAGAGAAATATGACTGGAGAGAAGTTTACCCAGATTGTGTTCAACCTGTATTTAATCAAGGCAACTGCTCTTCATCATACATTGTTGCTTCATTAGGAGTAGCCGCTGACCGTATTTGCCAATCATCAAAGAAGCCAATTAGACTTTCAGCTTAAGAGTTAATTGATTGCGATAAGTCAAACTACCAATGTGATGGAGGTTATGTTACAAGAGTTTATAACTGGGGTAAGAGAAAGGGATTCATCCCTGAATAATGTCTACCATACAATGGTACAGTTGGAGAGTGTGAGGATGATCATTTAGAATCAAATGAATGCAGAGCAAACAATATCTTCTATAGAGTTGTTGACTATTGCCTAGCCCAGGATGATAGAGGAATCAAGAAGGAAATCTTAAAGAATGGTCCAGTTGCAGCTCAAATGGTTGTCTACACTGATTTCTTGACATATAAGGATGGTATTTATCACAGAACCGATGACTCATTCAAATTCAATGGACAACATGTAGTTAAGATCGTAGGATGGGATAGATAAGGAGATGGTAATGAGTATTGGATTGTTGAGAACTCATGGGGATCAGATTGGGGTGAAGATGGTTTCGTAAGAGTATTAGCTACTGATAAGAGTACTGGGTTAGATTTCTACGCTATTGGTGTAGCCGTATATCCATACACAATGGCTGAATACTATGCAGCTCAAGAATAATAATAACTCTAACAAGAAGCTCAATAATAGCCACAAGGAATTGAAGAAACCTTAGTTGATTTAGATGTCCCAGCTGAAGAGGAACCTCAATAATGAATAAATTAGCATTTTTCATAATACATTTATATTTCAATCCATTGCAACTATCAATACTCCATCCATTCACTTATTTTCATTGAGGGGGTTTTGGGGTTTTGGGGTTTTGGGGAGATCGGAAGAGCACACGTCTGAA